CGGCAGGATGTAGCCACCCAGATACAGCTCCCTCCTCCCCTGGCTGCCCCTGGCTGCTGCCCTTCCTGTTCCTTCCCTTGCTTCCTGGGGCCACAGAAACTCAAACTCTCTGTAGGTGGCTTCCATCCTGAGGTCCCCAACACCTGACACAGCATGATTTCCTGCTAACTCTTCTTTGACAGGAAACTGCAATTCAGTACTTCCCTTAACACAAACACTCACACACACACACACACATTCACACACACTCACACACATACACACTCACATACACACAGGAATGGGCAGCCAGGCCCACCAAGGACTGCCTCCTGTTTGCAGTAGTCAACAAAGCTCAGGGTTCCGGTGTCCTGGGAAGAAATTGGTCCCACTTTCTTGTGATGCACATGGAGAAACTGAGGCCCAGGGAGGAGACTGGACTTGGTCAAGCTGCATAAACTAGCCATCACACAGGCAGGAAGAGTTCCATCAGCCCTGCTCCCGGGGTGCAGAGTCTCCCTACCTTTCAGGTATGCCTCTTAGACAAAATTAATCATCTCCTTATTTTTTCTTTCTTTCTTTCTTTCTTTCTTTTTAATTGCCTTTGGGTGCAGGCAATCAGAGTAGAGCCGGGGATGGAGAGAGGGAAAAAAAGCACCTGCCAGTGGGGCCTGGTCACATGGCACTTTTCCATCCACGGGCAGGCACGCACAGGCACCGAACCTGTTTCCCAATCCACCCGGTCTGGATCCAAACCTAGGGCCTTATGGGATGTGGCTCCCAATGCACAGCCTGTAACTGCTCCACTATGGGGCTGGCCCTTGACAAACTTACTCAGCTCCTGTGACATGACAGGCACGAGACTTTCACAACTGGGGCGGTCTCGCTATTCAAATCCCGTGCATCACCTGAGCCCACCCTGCACTGTTCATGGAGGAGCTTCTGCATGAGCAGGTTCATCTGACGGCTGTGGACAGGGAGGTTTCCTTACAGAAGCCGCTTTTCTCCTCCCTCTGAGATCTATTTTTGACACCGAATGTAATGTTTTCTTTTACTGTTACTATTACTATTTCCTGGGTAGAATGGGAGATTAGATGAGGGAGAGATCTTGGTGGGGCTCCCGGAGTGGGTATATCTGCACTGAGCAGCCCGGAATGCCCTCGCGTGCTGTAGTGAGGGATGAGGAAAGGGGATACGGTTACCCAGAAAACACAATGGAGTCCACGGCTGCTTGTGGGGAGAGCGTTCCTGGGTGAGTCAACGGCTCTCGACATTTCGCTATTTTCCATGTGCCCGTTCCCCTGGAACCATTTGGTCATGCGTGGAGATTCTGTGAGTTGCTTCAATTCAGAGTGTGAGGCATTTCTGGCAACTAGTGGGAAGACGCCAAGATGGGGCAGAACATCGGGCAATGCAGAGGACGGCCGCTCACACCCAGGAAGTGCCCAGCCTCCGACACAGATAGCAGCGATTTTGTGAAACACAAACTCTTGAGTTTACACCAAGGAGCAGCACTGCCAGGTAACACACCTGGTTTACCCTCCCTCCACAACTGAGCAGAGGGAGTGCTGGGCAGACCGGGAGATACGTTGGAGAATACACAGAAATGGCATTGGAGAGACAGGGTAGTTTTTAAAATTTTTTAGATTACTCGCTTATTTTATTCAGAGTCGGAGGCATCCTCGACAGGATCTTCATGCCATGATCCAACCTTCCTCACTGCAGGTGCATACACCCAGCATAAACGGGGAGGCTCCATGAGGCAAACCTGGACTTACACATGTGGGTTCAGCATGGCAGAATATTTCATTCCTGCTTTTTCTAACTCTAACATTCCCCCCCCCTTTTTTTTTAATGTAACAAAACTACTACTTGGTAGAGAGAACTTAAATTAGGGCTGGGATCCAATGCCAGCTCTGCCCCTCACTATCATTTCTGAGTTTGGTTACTTCATCCCCAAAAATTGAATAATAAAACTTTCCCATCTGATGTTTTGCAGAGTACGGCACAGAGAGCCAGCTGGAGGTGAGGTGGTGAAAACGGTCGGAGTCTCCATGACCGACTGCCTGGCTTGAGTCCAGACCTGGCAGCTTAGAAAACACCCCAGGTGTGTGTGAGTGCATTCCCAAAATCCAAAAAGGAGAAATAGGCGACAGGGGATTGCAGCGTGACCATTCCCCACTGGGAGAGTGTAGGAAGGTGGTGGGGTGACTTTTTTACTTGATGGGGTGGCTTTTTTACTTCCTCCCCTGCTCATGAACATACATGTCCTTAAGCAAATGAAAAGAACAAAAATATATGGCACAGACACTCTTCAGGATTAACCACCCTTCTTCCATCATCTACCCCTAAACACAAACTCACTGCAGTTATGAAGAACTCTAAATCTGAAGCCTGGGCAAGGGCAGGGAAGACTAGAAATCCTCTGCACAAAGGCATGCAGGTCTTCCTACAAGCTCATCGCTTGCATGGAACACAGGAATGAAGTCAGAGTGTGAGAACATTACGTGAGAATGCACTATAAACAGAAAATGACAGAAAAAGCATTCTTCCATGGTTAAGACTTTCACTAATATTCTAAAGACATGGGATTAGAAGCTAATACTATATACTCCACTTTCCTCTAACTGTAGAGTGTGGTTATTAATAACTGAGTCAACTGAGCAATAAGCTACAGAGGGTGATCCCATAGAGTGGGTTCGGTCACTGTAATCAATCCTTCAGCTGGCCTCCTAGTTTCAAGCTGTCGGACCTCCCCAGGCATTGCTACAAAGCATGTATAAAACATGCAGACCCTGTAGCCACCCCAGCCAAGGCACTGTGACTGACAGAATGGTGAAGCTATCCTCCTCCGCTGGAGCCTGACCTAGGCTATTGCCGTGTGCACGTGGACGAACACATTATGCTCGGTCCTAGCACGTGCAATCAAAGTTAAAGGAAACTCAGCACTGTACTATTTCTTTTCTCTCTCTCTCTTTTTTTTTTTTTTGCCTTTTTATTTATTTATTTTTACCGTAATCTTGTTTATATTACACTGAATCACATATATCTTTACAGTGTATTACATTTCTTTCTCCAGAAGGAATACCATGCATATCAGTTAAGACAATGACATTACTATCCACCTCCCAATCATCAAATAGCTTTTCATCTTTTTTTTTCAGATTATTATTATTATTATTTTATTCTCATTAGTTTTTAAACATTTGATCTCTCTGTATCATTTTGCTTATAAAAATAATTTACCTCCCCAACATGAAATACTTCTCAGACCAGCCCAGTTGAGAATACTACACACGTCATCATCAACAGGTAATAAACCATTTCTGTGTCCCCCTAATGTCATGCCTCTCTATTTGTTCTCTTGCTATCCTTCTCTATACTCTTCGCTTCTCCCACTCCATGCCATACGTCTTCAGCATCCCTATTTTCACTGCTTTTGTGCCCTCCAATATTTCGATCTCTACCATATAAAGTGCAGATAGCAGGTATATATTAAGTGGATACATACAATATCTTTCTTTTATATCCTGGCTCGCTTCACTCAGCACTAAATCCTTCATATCTGACCACTTTCTATCAAATGACACTATCTTGTTTTTTTTGTTTTGTTTTGTTTTTTCTGAGTAAGTGCTGCACTATTTCTAAGAATTAGATATGCTGGGGAAGTTTCTTCTCTGAGATCTAAAAAAGCCCAGTTTCAATGAAATTTCTAAAAATCTGCATTAATGAGAAATAATTGATAGCATTCTCAGCTATTAATCCTAATGCAGGGAAAAAGTCCTCTTTGGGACCAGGAATTAGCTGTTATAAGTTCAAGTCCTGTCTCTGTCATCATCAACTTGCTTAGAAGACTTAAATTGGTCCCTTCCCTTCTCTAGCCTTTATGGTTTTTGAATGTGTTCCCCCAAATTTTGTGTTCTGAAACTTAGTAAGCCATTGTAAGAGTGTAGAGAAAGTGGACACTTAATCTGATTATGGTGATGAAAGGTGAAGCTTTTCTGACTTGATTAGGCATTGAGTGGGGTCCCCACAATTGAGTCCTGTTCAATATTTTAATTTTCTTTCTTTTTTAAAAATAGATTTTTGTTATAAGCACTTGCACTCGCCACAGAAACAGAGAGACAGAGAGATACAAGGCAAGAAACCACCCCAGGAAGGGAGATGGACATGCCACAATCCCTTCTCCTCCCTTGTCATCTTGGGATATTGGGTACACATGCACACTCACCTGGCATGAGTTTCAAACCGCTGAACCTGGGACTCTAATCCAGTCAGCCACTCGGGACTCTAGTGCCTTAATCACCACACCACCTGTGGCTCTGTCCTGATGGATTTTGAAGAGGGAATGAGACAAGCAGATACGCCCTCCTCTCTGCTCAAGCTACTGCCTATACTATGTTATCCACCAGCAAGGAGAGCCCCATCAGATGAGCTCCCAGAATTTAAACCTCTATTTTTATACATGGCTAATTCTGTTATTAGCAACACAGTAGACTAAATACGGGCACTGACATGATACAGCAACAACAAAAACCTACCTACGCAGCTGGAACATTCGAAGCCCTAGCTCAATGTGGGTCCAACTGTGACCTTCTCTGCTAAGAGATCAGGAAACCCCACCCGCCCACTGTCTCAGTATTCTCCTCTGTAACCGTGTGCTCTTGTTATGCAGCAGTGCCTACAGCACATCCTGGAGGCGTAGGACTTCTCCTAAGAAATCCTGATGTGCTGCTTGTACTTTGCTGATGCCGTAGAGAAAAACACATGGAAAAAGACAATCAGACTGCCCCTGTGATGGGGTTCATTCTCCTGGGACTCTCTGCCCACCCAAAGCTGGAGAAAATCTTCTTTGTGCTTGTCCTGCTCATGTACCTGGTGATCCTGCTGGGCAATGGGGTCCTCATCCTGGTGACCATCCTTGACTCCCGACTTCACACGCCCATGTACTTCTTCTTGGGGAACCTCTCCTTCCTGGACATCTGCTACACAACCTCCTCAGTCCCACTGTTCTTGGACCTTGTCCTGACTTCACATAAAACCATCTCCTTCTCAGCCTGTGCTGGGCAGATGGGTCTCTCCTTTGCCATGGCAGGGACAGAGTGTCTGCTCCTGGGAATGATGGCGTTTGACCGCTACGTGGCCATCTGCAACCCCCTTAGGTACCCTGTGGTCATGAGCAGGGCTGCCTACGTGCCCATGGCTGCCGGCTCCTGGGCTATAGGTGGGGCGGCTTCTGCAGTACACACCCCCTTGGCAATTCAGCTGCCCTTTTGTGGGGACAATGTCATCAACCATTTCACCTGTGAGATCCTGGCTGTCCTAAAATTGGCCTGTGCGGACATCTCCATCAATGTGATCAGCATGGAGGTGTCAAATGTGATCTTCCTGGCAGTGCCAGTGCTGTTCATCTTGGTCTCTTATGTCTTCATTATTATCACCATCCTGAGGATTCCTTCAGCAGAGGGGAGGAAAAAGGCCTTCTCCACCTGCTCTGCCCACCTCACAGTTGTGATCATCTTCTATGGGACCTTATTTTTCATGTACACCAAGCCCAAGTCTAAAGACTCACTGGAGTCAGGCATGGAGGACTTTTCAGACAAGCTCATCTCCCTCTTTTATGGGGTGGTGACCCCCATGCTGAACCCCATCATCTACAGCCTAAGGAACAAGGACGTGAAAGCTGCTGTGAGAAACCTGTTGACTCAGAAATGCTTCAGCCAGTGATGGTGAAGAGGCTCTCCGTGGTTGTCACTCACATGGAGAAAGGACTCCCAATCACATCAGCTGACATTAAAAAGCCAAGTCAGATTAACAAGGATTGTGTCCTACCCAAGGCCACATGCAGGGACTGTTTCCTTCAGGGTCTATCTCTTGAGTTTGGTCAGGTGTCTGACAGCTTCAACTGTTACAAGACTTAATAAAAACTTTAACAGCATGTAATGGAGACATTTTGAAAACATGTTAACACCACATAAGACACCAGTCCTTAAAGCAAGTTGAATTTCATTGAGTCTAGTCTGTAGGGGGCGTTAAAGGGAAGTGAGATGGTTCTCACAGCAATGTTGCCATCCCTGTTGAATTCATCAGGAAAACTAGAAGAATAGGAGGAGGTGAAAACTTTTATTGGAACTTTTTATTTATTTATTAGATTCAGTTTGCCCAAAGGGCCCAGAAGAGACTAAGACAAGATCTTCACATAGAGAACCTTTGGATGGGAATAATCTATTCTGATAACTGACTATCTTCTTAACTATGAGAAATTTGAAGCTATTTTTTTTTCTCAATTCACAATAGATTGTGAAATGCTGGTAATAAATTAAATTTAATTAAAGAAAGAATATAGCATTTGAATTTGATTTCATCACTTACACCATTTCCCAGCATAAGTGTTACAAGTCTGACCAATACTAATTCATGTTCTGAAAAAAGAAAAACTAGATATATAGATATATACATAAACAGACACACACAGAGAAAGAAATATATAGTAAATAAATATGTGGGGAAGCTTTCAGGTTATATGTTGACTGGTTCTTTGCTCTAGAAATTCTCAGAGCCTGGTCTATTGTGAATGTCCAGGAAGGTATAAATTCTGTAGCATTTTCTTAGAGTCCATGGTATAGCACAGTAAAAATTGGGAAGCACTTTCTTCCCTATATCCCATGCAGATTGCTTAAGCACTCTCCCTGTGTCTCCACATATTAAAGCCTAAGCAATAAGGGGTCCGCAGGTGGCCTTGTGATTAAGGCACTGGACTCTCACATGGCTGACTGTGGATTAAGTCCCAGATCTGGCAGCTTGCTTTTTTTTTTCTCTCTCTCTCTCGGTCTCATGTTCATGAGCACACATGCCCTATAGTAAATTAAATAATAATAAAAATAATAAATAAAGTTAAATAAATAATTATTTTTTTAAAACCTAATCACTAGTTTTACCTGGTTTAGATAACATATTATAAATTATTTATAAATTATAAGCACAATAAAAATGCAAGATATTTAATCATAGTAATATAAAAACTGCACAGTGATATATTATGTTAAAAAACAACACAGAAGGATGTAGTTTCTGTCTCTAATAAAGCACACAGAAGACAAATGTGGATGGATAGAGTGGGTATCTCTGGGATGTAGGAGAAGGCTGGAGTAGAAAGAGATCCCCAGGGGACTTCCAAGGCAATGCCTGATCTCCTAAATTAGGTGGTGATTACTTTGTTCCTCTTTGAATTAAAAATATGTTTTTTTAGGGACCAGCAGATGCCATAATGATTACATTGCTGGACTCCCATGTAGTCGACTCACAGTTCAAGTCCCAGACCCAGTGACTTAAAACTCCCACTGGTCACATGTGTGTGCGTGCCCAAAATCCTGAGAGGAGATTGGAGAAGAAGGGATTGCGGTGTGGCCATCCCCCCCACCCGAATATTATTTCTCACTTTCTGTCTCTCTGGTGAGTACAGGTTCCCTATAACAAAACTCTCTCAACAAAAAAAATATATGTATAGGGACTGGCAGGTGATGTGGTGGTTAAGGTGTTGGACTTCCACTTGGCCAACCACTGTTCGAGTCCTGGACCTGGTGGCCTGCTTTTTCACTTTCCCTTTCTCTCTCTCTGTCTCTCTGTGGTATAATTAAAAATAAATAATAAAAACAGTTAAATCAGTCAATAAATAAATCTAAGTATATATATGTGTGTGTGTGTGTTTATGCTTTTATATAGATTTAAACATACTTTATTTCTTATTTGAAATTATTTTTATACCCCAAGTGTTAAGTACCAAGTTTTAATGCTACTATGAGATATAACATCTCACCTAACCAACTGGCAAATATAAAAAAAGTCCCAAGACCAATAGACAATTTTACAGTGTGGGGCAACAGACATTCTCAAACACTAATGACAGGAAAGTGTGTAAATTTGGCAATATCTACCACAATTAAAAGTGGACTGTATAGGAGGAGGTAGATGGTGGGGGTGAAAGAGAAGAACTCAGAAAAAAGTAACATTGAACAGACACAAGAATGGGAAGATGATGTATATGGTAATATGTTGATTTGATAGACATGCACAGCACCCATGTCTCTCTTTCGAAAATTCATATTGTACCCTATAAAGATATACAACGATTACATGTAAATTAAAACAAATACAAAATGAATAAAATGTAATCCCTATCTTTCGAAACCATGACAAATGACCATACAACAGATGCATTTTTGCCACATGCCAAAGTATAAATGTGTAAGGATATTTGTTGTAGCATCAATTATAATGGCAGACTGATTAATTCAATGAAAATACACCCTTACAGTGAAAATACAAGGCATTTCAAAGAATTTAGAAGAACAGGACATTTAAAAGAATGAGGGAAACCTATAATGGTTTCCCAAGGAAATTCTCCAAGGTATATCATTAGGTGAGAAAAGCAAAGTATTAATACAGTGTGTATTTGTCCTAAATTGATTGATATTTTAAAATATTCATTAGCATACATGTACAATTTCTCCAGAATTAAAAAATTGCTAATGTTGGTTGCTTGGGAGACAATAACAAAAAGGTTCAAAACAGTATGTTTTTAAAGAATTATTCATTTTAATTTTATATGTCATTATTATTACTTCTTACTTTGCTACAGGGTATATGTGTTCACCAGAGAGAAACAGAGAGTGAGAAAGCAAGATACCAATCTGGGACTCGAACCACCACTCGAACCAGAGGTGACTATGTGGGAGCCCAGCACCTTAACCAATACACCACCTGCTGACCCAAAGTGTATTTTTTGCCATACACTTTTCTTATCTTTTATGTTTGGTTCCAAGTGCAAGTAACACCTCCTAACAATGCTGCTGCTGATGATAACAAATGACGATAAAGAAAATCCAGTCTATTAATGAGCTCTGCCACCCACAAGATATATGGACTTTGGGAAATCAATTAACTTTTTAAAACTGGTCAAATAAGAAACAAGAAGGTTAAAAAAAAAAAAAATCTCCCTGAGCAGACTAGAAGTAGACACCTAACATACATATATTATTGAATTTTGCTGAGCTTCTATAACCAATTGGAGGACATTGGTGGCCTTGGCTGGCACAAGTGGTGGTTCAATGAATGTAGCACATTCTGCTGTTGTTACACTCATGAGTCTGCCACCCATGTGGGATGCCTAGAACTGCAATTTAGGGACTAGGTGTTCTTTCCCTTTAAAGCTAGCACTGGTTTCTTGGATCCCCCTGGGACAGCTGAGGAGCAAGCCAGCATTTCTGTAGCTCCTCTCCTTCTTCATAGGCTGTGTCCCAGTCACTGCGTCTAATTGGGACAAGGGGATGAGGTCCCTAGAGCCCCAGGCTACCAAGAGCCTGTGCCCTGAGTACATTGACATTCCAAACTTTAAATTGCTTCTGGGATTTGCAGGGTTCCTGTTGGAGTAAGGGGGGGGGGGTGTCAGGTGCCCCATGGAGTCTACCTCTGCTGCTTGAGGACTCCCTTCATCTCCTGCAGAAAAACTACCCTTAGAATTCCTGGGACTGAGACCAGAGTGCCAGGTTCTCTACATGAAGAGTCTGTAGCTGAGACACCAGCATTCACCTTGTATAGCGGGGAAGTTGGAAAAGAAATGCCACCATAGGCTAAAGCTCCCACAGGGATTGGAGAGGGAAGGAGACTCATCACAGGTAAAGCAAGACAGGTGGGCAGTGGTGGCGGTGTTTCTCTAGCAAGGAGAGTCTGACCTGAGGCATAGTGAGGAGGTGAGGAGCCTGTCTGGGAGTGGGAGACTCAGAGAATTTGGGGAGTGCTGGACTGAGCTGAGGTCAGAGGTGCTGGCAATGCCTCTTCAGGGCATCCCCTAAAATGTCCTTTCCTGACCCAATCTCTGTCCCAAGAAACTTCCAGCAACAACTGTTCTTAAGCAGCTGATGCTGCAGCCCAGAGTTGTAGCTGAGAGCACGCAGGGGCAGTCTCCTGCTCAGCAGGGCTCCCCACTGCTCCAGCCCCCTCCCTGTCATTTCTGCTTCATCTCACAGGGAGCCCAGTGGGGTGGCAGGGGAGCAGGATTCCCAGCCCCACTTTACAGGTGAGGAAGGGAGGCTCAGGGAAGTGGGTCGTTCTCAGGATCAGAGAATGAGCTGACAGTCCAGCCGGCACCTGTCTGTCTGGTTCCCATGCTATGACTAGTTCTTTCTGTTTTTCTCACCATCCTTTGCCAAATGCTGATATTCTTCTCTTTTTTAAAAGTTTTTTTTTTTAGGGCATGTGGGCTCACCAGAGAGAGAGAGAGTGAGAGAGTGAGAAGCCACCGCATAGAGGGGATGGCCATGCCTCAATCCCTTCTCCTTCATTTCTCATCTTGAAATTTGATATACCAATGCACACATACCCAGGATGTTTGTCAAACAACTAGATCTGGGATTCAAACCACATAGTCAACCATGTGGGATTCAGCTTCCTTAACACCACCACATGGCTGGCCCCTGAGATTCTTCTTTCAATGCAAAGTAACTCATGCCCATCTTATTAAGAGAAGAGGACCAAGAGGGACCTCTGTCCCTATTATTCTCCATATATTGATTCCAGTCAACTTTTATCCACATATGTACTTACTTATCTGAGATCGTAACAGTGTACACATGCCATATTTGCCATTTGAACTTAGTATAACAGTACATTAATTTTATATTTTGTCACAAATTGAGACATGACATTGCAGTTTCCTAACATTCCACCAT